CAAGTTGTTGTTGCATTTCATATCCACAGTATATGTAAAAGTGACCAAAAACATAAATTTATTTCCCCTACCCCCATCTTAAAGAGTTTAAAATAGGGTATTTTAGGTCAAAATTTCAAAGTGCTGTAAAAAAAATTGCCCAAGCCCTAGGCATGGGGATTTTTTTTCTGAGACACTATAGGGTATGCTGATTCAGAAAAACCAAAAATTAATTTTCCTTTACTTTTTTCCCGCTAAAGTTCATTTCAGAAGTTTTACAACCAGACTACTACGTTTTTATGGCCTTAAAAACGTTTTCTGCACAAAAATCTAACGTTATTATAACCTTATAATATAAAATTGTTTAAGCTGGGACAAATCGATTTTAAGGCCTAGTAAACTGGTTAAAAATGACACCAGTACTAGCTCTCCAGATGCTGTATTTTATTATACGATTATTTAAATAATAATAATAATAATAATAATTATTATTATTATGGATTATATAGCGCCTCACGTTGTCACAACCTCGAGGCGCTTTGGTATCACTAATTAGCTCGTAAGCATCTATCTCACGAATTAAGACAAACTAGACAAAAGAGTACAAAATCACTTTTTTATATATCCAAGTTTTATACTTTTAATATAGAAATGAGAGTTGAAGAAACATGAAAGAAAAACATAGCATGACAGAAAAACATAGCATGACTAATAGAGTACCAACCGACAGATTTTACCAACCAAACACAAGAACTTTAGCAAGAAAAAAATATAACTTTGCCAGTTACTAACATATTAATCTGCTCCTTCTCAAATATGATCTAATTTCTATTAAACATTTGGTTAAAAACTAATTTATCTTTCAAGGCAAACAAGCAATATACAGTATATACTCTATTTTTTTGTAAGCAGAAATAATACATAACACAAGCCATTTTCATAAATTATTCCTTCAAAATTATTATCATTAAGAATATCTATCCTTGGCTTCTTGCTTTATTACAAAGCTATAAAAAAGGTAAGGATATGAGGATTAAGGGTACTGTAATTGTATGAAACAAGTCATGAATCTTGATAATACCATACTAAGTATGTAGAATAATCCCAAAACATTTCAATGGATTAAGTATGGAAAATTAACTTATGCAATAATTACCAATGCAAACAACTGTTTTGGGACCACCCTAATAAAGGTCAGTCAAAAAATAAAATAATATGTCCCTAATAAAAATGTATTTAGAAATAAACTATAGTTCTATAAAGAGTGTATGGGTTATTAGATAGGAGGTGGGTGTAAAGGGTAATGAAATAGGTGGGGTACTGTATTTTTTTAAAAATACATACATTTCAAAGTTATAAAGAGAAAATTAGTACCATGAGTTAACCATTTTTACTTCGAATCTAATTTCTCTACACAGATGATGTAAGCTTTATCCTTTGTAAAAAAGATATTATATCACTTTTGAGAAAATGTCTATACAGTAATACAACAAGCATTATTTAAATTTAGAAAGAATAAATACTTTTCAATAATATATATAGTGAGCCAGAACCATCAAAATACATGTATCAGGAAAAACCAATGCTCATACAAAAAGTTTTAGCTTCAGAAATCTTAAATTTTAAGCAAAAATAACACATCGATTGGCCTTCCTTTTTATATTTTTCTACTCAAAGTCTTAAGTTTCCAATCCAGTAAACTAGTAGTTGTATCAGTATAAAAAATGAAAGCAAAAAGTTTAGAATGGGCGGGATATGGTTGCCAGCTCCCAAGTAAATGCAACATCAAACATATTTATAGAACTATGTTTATACTAAATATACATCACATCTACAAGCATTCCAAAATAAATTAATTACATTGCTAAATCTTCTCAAAAATATATGAAGATGCTGACACACTGTATTATTATTTGTCGAGAAATATTACATACATCCACCACCATACCATAAAGTTCATAGAATCAATATTAACAGTTGATATTGAACTTATAAAACAGTATTTAATATAGTCCACCGAACAACAGATTGAAAGAATGTCACATTATCCTGTTTTGAATTGAGTAGTTGAGAGACTGACGACGTTAGCATTGTCAGCGCTGGCTTAGAGTTGTTGAAGAATTGGATGAGTAGAAATTCATTTGCATTAGACAACCTCATACTCATTTTTGATCGATTTCATCAGACAGCAAGCGCACACGACACCAATAATCTATCGAAAAAACAATTTGATTCAAGAAATATTAATAGACTTGTGAGATTGTGGAATAAGTAATAATATATCTTTTAAGATTTTAGTATAAAATAAAGGTCTTTAAAGATGTAGAACTACAAATGACCAAATATGGAATATTTATAGCATGACGACCAAATGGATAGAGAGATCAATATTTGGTTAAAGGTGCTGCATTGCCCATGTTGGTAGATATCTTCAGTTCCTGTATTAATCAACCCTGCAAATAATACTCATGAGTTAATTTCAATCCATATGTGCTCAGCAAATTGCCACAAGATGCCAAAAGGCCTGCTGCACCTTAGTGGAAAGTGGTGGCCCAGAGGCACAAACATACAGTGAGAAAATGGTGCGGAAGTGGAACAAAAATGGTAATGCGATGATGATAATAATATTTTTTTTTTTTTTTCATTGGTATGACATATGACTTTGCAAATAATAATGGTGAATGCCCAAATTTCAGTGCATAGTTTATAATGTCTGATCACTGGATAGATTATCATGCCATAAACAATAGGAGGCCTCACCTCTACTCTACGGGAAGTTCTTCCAGCGCAGTTAGCTTTAGTCACGCCCCAAATTCATCGCAAGTTTATCTACATCCAACCCACATGAAAGGGACCAACATGAATAAATTTCTTTGCCCAACTACAAACATGTAGCCCAGTCTCGTTCCCTATATTCACTACTGAACGTAGGGGAATGAGCTGTTGGCCCGTCGTACTAAGCCTCACCATAATGATGATACATTTTGATAAAATTTACCTATATATTAAATGACATTCACCTGTTAATAAATTCACCGGTATTTATGTGAATGAAATATATATGCATTATAAATATTGTTGTATTATATTTTTGTATATATGGCTTGCGGATGGCAAATGATCATAGTGATAGTAGGGATGGCAAAAACCTATACATGATGATTAATGTTAATAAAATTCACCAGCTTATAAATTTACCATTTACTGTAATGTGAATGAAATATGTACTTTATAATTTTGTATTTTAAGTTTGTATAAATTGACTCCGGATGGCAAATGATCATGGTGACAGTAATGATGGCATAATATTATGCATGATACTTGATGGTAATAAAATTCACCAGTTTATACATTTATCAATATTTATGTGAATGAAAAATATATATAGATATTTTTGTATTGTTTTTTGTATATATGGACTGCAGATGGTACATGATCATAGTGATAGTAGGGATGGCAAAAAACTATGCATGACATGTTAATAAAATTCACCAGATTATAAATTTACCAATTAATGTGAATGAAATATGTATTTTATATATTTTTCTATTCTACAGTAATGTATTTGTATAATATGCCGATTCCAATGAAATTTAATATTGTTAATACTCATTTAAATTTGAATTATGCAATGTACTGTATTGTCTATGGTTTTGTAGAAGTTGCAGTATAGGCAATATTGTAACCGCATCCACAGCAACGACAGCATGGGCAGCGACCCATGAAACAACAGGCCATCCAAATTCCAATAATCTAAAGTGATGTAAAAAGCGATAACATGAATGAAAAAAATGGTAAAACAGTGAAAAAAAAAGTGGGGCAGTAGAACATGATTGGCGTACAGTAAAAACATGGTGTAGTGAAACAGGTGTGTAGTAGGAACATGGTGTGACATTGAAACAGGTAATGGTGTAGAGTAGAAACATAAAATTGCAGTGGAACAGGGATGGCACTGATTAGAAACATGGTGTGGCAGTGAAACAGGAATGGTGTAGAGCAGAAACATGGTGTGGCAGCTGTGGACCAGGAATGGTGTAAAGTAAACATGGTGTGGCAGAGAAATAGGAATGGCATAGAGTAGAAACATGGCGTGGCAGTGAAACAGGAATTGCGTAGAGTAGATACATGGTGTCTAACGAAGTGTGATATACCAGTGATACATTCAAATCCCCCCCCCCCCCCAGTAATACCGGCATAGTTTGCCTCTGTTAAAATCGATATTGAACACATATATAAATATATTAATATGCTGTGATACTGAACTAAAAATATCCATTCAATCTGAATGTTAAAAATAAATTCTTAAATTTTAAAATATTGCTTTGCTCAGCCTACTTGGAATATGTGTGGAATTTCATTCTCTTACAAAAGTGAACCACATGGCTTTTCATAGCCTTTTCATTGTTAAAAATCTTAAATTTCGAATGAGATGACAATCGTATGCTAAAGAAATGATAGCATATTTTGCCCTATTTTTCAAGCAGATGCTGGATAGGCTTATATTCAAGAAAATTAATTTAATACATACACACTCCAAAAACCATTTTTTAATGTCGGTGTTATTTCTGCCAAGTGTCTGTGGTTATTTTAGACAATATAATATTAGTAAATAGCCGCGTTCTTAGGAAGCCAGATTTTCCAGTGTCACTTTGATATTTTTCCTGTGATACCAACATTATGTGTCAGAATAAAAACTCATGACCGATTATAAAGTATAAGAAAATAGTATAATTTTAAAACATCTCATGGTTCTAGTCGTGGGTGATAGATCAGACAACAGCTGTAGTATATATATGTTTTTTATTTTTTTAGATCAGAAATTCCATCATTGTAAACATTGACTTCAACGAAACGCGATATGATATTTTATTAGCTTTTCTTTTAAAATCAATATTGAATAATTATATTGATTTGCTGATACTAAACTAAAAACATCCACTATTCTAAGCTAACAATATTGTAGAGCCCGGATAAAAGTTTTCACATTAATTTTCCTCACTGCATGGTAAGTCATTCGTTGTATTTGTATTTTTTTCCAAAAAATTAAAGCAGATGTTTGAATGAACACATATTCTGTATTGATTTAATTTGTTTAGAATCGCAATGTATTTTTTCAAATTAACGCAAGTTCCTTAGAGTTTTTAATTAAACAATATTGCTTCGCTCAGCCTGTTTGGATTGTGTATGATATTTTAATATCTTATGGCTTTTCGATTCGAGTCTGAAATTTTGATTGCGATGATATTTGTTTGCTATAGCATTTTTTGCCCAATTTCAACCCAGGTTGGATATATTCACCCAACATTTGTTTTACCATTTGATAGAACCATAAAATTTTATGCTCTCTTCGCTCACGACTCCACCCTCTACTTGTCGCCATAGTAAGTATGAAACTCTGAATCCGCCCATAGTCAGGATGGACTCTGGATGCGCGCCTGCAAAGTACGAGATGGCAACAACTGAAAAGGATCTCAAAGCAAGTTTCTGAATGACTGTAATGTTCAGATGAAAACTAGCTTGGTCGATGTTTGCCTTTAATTCCAGGATCTGAGTTATATTCATGACATGGTATAGGATTTCTTCACATAACCAAAAATCCATTCGAAAGTGTCTTAGGACCTGTATTTGGATGATTCCCATTTATGAATAACTGGGCTAAATACTGCATTATAAGCAATGCCAATAGTCAATACCATTAAAATAATATCAACAATACTGTAGTTGTTAAAATCAGAAAAAAGCATGTCTAATTTAGTGTATTGTGCACTGAATATTTTTGAACGATTTTTGTACATCGAGTGCCTAGGACAACCCCCTCCCCCCACTGTTTCACTGTTTGAATTCATACTTTTTGTTGTTTTTTATGGTATTGGTACTGCATCTACCAAATACCATTTTATGAGATTTATATGTTCATCAAAATATTTTAAAATTACATTCATTCATAGGCCCTCTAAAATTTTAGTAGCTTCATTGTAGTAGTAAATTTGAGTGTTATGGACAACCTGCACAAAAGACGAACATGATTTAAAAATCTAAAATGTGTATGTCGCGTGTATAAGACGACCACTTGTTTAAAAAAAAAAATCATAATTTGCTATTTTAAGCCTCGTCTTTTTTGCGAGGACATACGACAGATGAAAAGCAAGCATATCCTAATAAACTGATTGGAAATGCATTGTAGCAATCTGTTTAAATTGATAACTTGTGTATAACGATTATTCTGCTTACAATTAGCTTACTATTAGGAATGATCAATATCTGTTATGTCATATATACATGTATGACACACATGAAATACAAGCATATCTTATGAAACTCATTGGAAATTTATTTGTAGACGTACCTGGATAACTGCAACACCAATGGCAATGCCAGCAATAATTATTATATTCTCCTTGATAAAATTAAACAGTGCTTCTGAGCAGCCCTGTGAATTCAAACAAAGGCATGTCATTTTAAACATGCAATGAGGAATGAAATATATTATTAAGTCAGTTTAATGCAGAATAAATTCCAAAAATTTACTGGTTGAACAAATGTTATTTAGACAACCACGGCATCCCCCTCCCCAAAAGCTTTCACCCCATTAGCACCCTCCCCACTCTCAATTGGAAATGTTCAAAGCAGAAACTATACTCAAGTACAATATACCTCTCTTTCAAAGCATTATCAACAGATCCTTTGTGAAAACAAAAATGTCAAGGAAACAACATGGTCTCCATAGAGACACGTCGGATGGCCGTTCCGTGGCAAAACAATGTAACTTGAAGTTTTCACTTTTCGAGATAAATAGAACAAAAGCTTGCAAGTTTGCAACTTAACAATAAATAGTTGTACCCTTCTGGAAATTTTGCAGGACTATATATTTATAGACATTATGATTATATAAAATTTCTTAATTACAACCGTTGGTTTATTGCAAAATTATTAACGACATTTACAGATACGTTGTTTTACCTCAGAACATGTCACGAGTGCGACATATTTTTGGGATTAATCACGTTTGGGGCAATCATATGCATTAATTAGTTTGTGCATACGTCGTCATTAAGATTTATTGATGTGAAAACACCATCAACTAGTTGATTTTGCCTTGCCAAACACAATTCAGCTCAAACCAGCTTTTGGAATACCATTCCGAGGCAAAACAACAATAGCAATTATGAATCAAAATAAAGGTTTTTACCTCTTCATATACGTTTTTTGGGGTTTGGTTGACCTCACAGCCTTTCTCTATGCAACAAGAAGCCGGGACTTTCTTATCTCCAATCACGTCGTACCAATCAGTGTAGTTGTAGGTACCACAGCACTTCAGCTAATTGTTCAAATTAAATTAATTCATAAACTGTAAATCATACTAGATATTGTAAGTTAATAATGATGAAGTCTGAGAAGAGGACTGGAGCAGAAAGGAAACTGGTGACCATGGGAACATCATGGAATGATGAGAGATGTGTCAGGATGACAAAAAAGAGAATGAAACAGAGGACACCAAAAATAATAGGTAATTGTTATAACAAAAATATATAACAACTGAGCATACTTCTGTAAGGAAACTAACAAATGAATTAGTATTAGTAATGCAATGACTTTATATTATGCAATATCAAATTGTGAGAAACATTCAAGTTTCGTTCCTCTGGACCCATGGGGGTTTTTATGGTTCAGGCAAACCCCCTTTTCTAGCAAATCCCTCCCTCTTTTCTGGCGAACCTTCTGCTCGAATTCCTGAATGAGTCCTCCAACACAACTAATGCACTGTAGATGCACTCAGATGGATTTGCTGCATACATTTACTTATCTGCTTTTATAGCATAATCTAGACCCATAAAACACAAAAATTCTCTGGCAATACAGTAACAAACCATAAAACTAAGCAATGCCATGATGTAGCAAAAGCCTTTCTACAAAAATATTAAATCAATATAAATACAATGAAAAAACGATGTACATTGAAGGTTGGCTTGCGAACACAAATTTATTAAAATATAAAAAAATTAACAGACATTTTGATAGCTCCTGCTATATATATATATATATATATATATATATATATATATATATATGTAAAATGATGATTGTCCAGATAAGCGACGTATAGTGCTCAATGGAAATGGAGAGTGCAATAATAATAATAGAAAGGTTATGTCAAGCGTGAATTTACTCTAGCTGTTTCATGCACCAGCAATCTTCAGGAGTGAGTGGATAGGAAGATAATGGAGATATATGAGGTTCAGCAGGTGTATATGCTAATTGTGTTACGTATTCTTGAGTAGGAATTTGTTTCTGTGTCTGCATTTTGAAAGCAACCCTGTTCTTTTGTTTAAAGTTGATGGTTTGTTTGAATAAAGTATGTGAAATTTCTCTGTAAGGCAGAGATTGCAGCGTTTTGTTTGTGTACTGTGCAGCTTAGCTTTGTCAATTATGAACCATTTGATGTTGAATTGGGTGTTGCTTTCTTTCAGTTTGCATACATGTTTTGATAATTCGGTGCTGTTCTTATGCTTCAGAGAGCTAAATGTGTGCTTATGATTTCTAAATCTGGGTTTGAATGTGTTGTCTGTGAGTCCGATGTACTCTTTGACGTCGTCATTTGTGGTTACGGTGGCTTTGTAGATAATTGAAGATGGGAGGCAGTTTCCTGAGAGGGGGCATTCACCTTTCTTTCGGCAGTTGCATGTTTAGATGGTTCTTGTGGTTTAGTGCGAAGAATTCTGCTGTTGTGGGACTGAATGATGTTTCCCATGTTTCTAGAACAGCTATAGCTAACTTTGACTTTATTTTTGTTGAATAGCTTGTGAAGTGTACTGCCTACAGGAAAGTGTTTTTTAACCAAGTTCAGGAAGGATCTGCCAATGTCAGTTTTCACAGCTTTGTTGAGCTGCTTTGCCTTTGCCTAAACCTGCTTTTTCATGCTGTAGGATTTTTTTGCCCAGCAACAACCAATCCAACCAATCACCCATTGCATGTGAAGACTGCCCACTTATTATTTTGTGAGTATTTGTTAATTTTACCAATCAAGCCTAGGACTGTCTCACCCAAATTAAAACGGAACAGTAGAGAAAATCCGATCAGAATGACAAAATAAACTAAGCATCCACTGGAAGGAATCCCAATATCTGCAGATGGATCCGTTTCGGCCTTCCAGGCCTCATCAGTGCAGCTAGGGTAGAACCGAACGAAACATTCGACCAGCTTAGGTAGGGCCCAAACTAGTCCCACGACCACTAATGATTACAGAGCCAAACCAAGGCAATATATATACACAGCCCAGGTGTGAATGCAAATAGTGGAATACAAGCTATGTGGCTCGGTTCCAGTAGATACAGAGAATATTTTGTCATTCTTAACGCGTCCTACGAAAATCTTATGAGACAGCACTAGTCCGTGAATTTGTGAACAAGATCGGAGATCTAAAGATGCAATCTCTACCGTGCATCAGTGGCGGCCCGCTGGATCTCAATAGATTCTTTATAATAATATATAAACTTTAAAAGGCAAATGGGAAAACTACGATGGCCCACAAGGGACACACTGCAAACAAAAAGAAATGCTGCAAACAAAAAAGAAACGCTGCAAACAAAAAAGAAATCATGGAAACAGAAAAGAAATGCTGCAAACAAAAAAGAAACGCTGCAAACAAAAATAGAAACGATGAAAACAAAAATAGAAACGATGCAAACAAAAATGGAAACGATGCAAACAAAAATAGAAAACACCAGCAAACAAAAAATGAAACGCTGCAAAGGTAGAAAAAGATAGACGGTATAAAGTGAGAATTTCATGCATATATATATATATATATGTGAGAATTTCATGCATATATATGTATATATATATATATATACACTGTACTTACATTCTTTTGCATATCATTCCACAGGTCTCTGGTGACGTTCACTGTTTGATAATCTTTCATGGTGGCGTCCATGTTTTCTGTGATTTGATCTTTAACCTCATCATTCATAACAAATCCAGCAATTCCAATGCCAACCTCAGCAACCAAGAGTACGATCAAAATGCAGGCATACTATATATTAAAACAATATCTTCATATGGGGTTAACATTGTTTGAATTCCATTAGGAAGCTTTCAACTACACGATGACACGACGCTAGAATGGAATCATTCATGCGTGACCATCCTACTGGGCATCCTCCATTCTCTGCATATGTAGATTTGACCAAATTGCATTCTAAAATCCACGCGACCGGGAGAACTTAATGTTTTCACATGCGCAGATGACTTTTAGTGACGTTATTATGTTCTACATCCTACCATCGTCGTGCAATCGAAAGCTCTCTATTATTACATGAGTACAAACAAGTGGTTGCAGTGGCGTATCTAAGGCTCTATTTACACTATCAAATTCTATGTGACAAATTTGTGTGTTGTGCCCATATATGAGCATGATTTTTGTCACATACAGTTTGACTGTGTGAAATGAGTGAAAGGAGGAATGGGAATAAATTATCCCCACTAAGAACTTACAGCGCACCAAAATTACGCTCAAGTACTAAAAAATCAATTTATGACCTCATTCCAGTCGCATGAGCGCACGCTGGGGGAGGGCGGTGCAGCGAGTGTAGACGTACGCCTATAACAGCAAATTAGTTCCACTCAGCAAGTTAAAAAACTGATAATGACCATTAAGATTTCATTGGAAAAGGCAGTTAGGCATCTCAATTTTTGCACCCCCACCCCTAATTAAACCAGTCTATACCCCTATGATTATCCCTTAAATTTATACTGTAGATATGGCTAGTTATGCTACAAGACCAAAATTATGCAATCACTAAAACTCTACTCTGAAACATATTCTTTGACAAAAAAACTGTTGTATGCCATACATGGTCATGATGTGCCTATATATGGTATGTAGGCATAATTTGAGAATGGTGATCTTCCTACAACAACAAAATGTTTTTAGGGGGATGAACACAATGTGACAATGTAGGAATTTATTCCATGGATTACAAGACTATGATACCACCAGATGAAGGTGGCAAAAACAATTTGTTGGACGTTTAATGTTTGTCATGCACTGAAGATTCAGCACAATGATTTGCCATCCTTTCACAATATTACATGTATGTCTTATTCTTTAGAAGTAAACATATTTTTCCAATCTCCATGGAAACATTTGGCAATACATGCATTATGATAATTGAAATGCTTCCAACACTCCATAGAAATACTAATTTATACTACAAACATAACCTAGTACTTTTGCGCCATCTAGAAACCTATAACAAGGCACAGATAATAATTACTACCACTGGATACACAACACCATATATGCAACCACAAGGAGCTTATTAAAAAAGAGCTAAAAATCATCCTGTTAATGCTGGTTTACACTATGACGATAAGGATCAACAATAAAAAGTTAAGAAGCAATTCACACTAGACATGTTGCTTCAAAATAAAGTTACCATCCCAATCTGTTGTCTTAAGGCCAACTCAGACAGCGTCTTACGACGCAGCTCGACGGAAATTGTTGTCGCGTCGGGTCTGTGTAGGGGGCAGTCGCAGACGCGATGGTTTGCGTAGGGGGCAGTCGCGTCGTAGAATATTAAAAATGTTTAATATTTCTCACGGCGGTTCAAGGCTGTCCCCAACGACGAATCGCGTCGGGCTGTGTCGTACGACGCTGTCTGAGTCAAAAAACATGTGACATGCCTAAATATGGTCATGATGGTATCCTATCCTAACCATATATAGGCACATCATGACTATATTTGGGCCTACAAGTTTTTTTTTGTCGAAGAAAATTTGATAGTGACAGAGCTTTATGCTCTGTCCACAATATAAAATGTTATGTGACAAAAATGTGTGTGATGTGCCCAAACATGGTCACGATGATGTCATATTACAACCAAATATGGTCATATTACAACCAAATATGGGTATATCACGTTTTTTTTGGTCACTTTGATAGTGTGAAGAAAACTTAAAATATTCTCTTATTGATGGCACCTACAGTAGAAACCATACAGTAGCTCTCTTTGATTGCACCGCAACAGCCGCAGAAACCTGTGATGAAGATGATGCCGCCGACCACGATGATTAAGATTGGTATCGTATCACCCAGGTCACCGGTAAATTTGACATATTCGTTGTAGTTCCTCAGAACTAATACTCCACCGATGATCAATGCAAGGCCGCAAATCTGAAAATAAACCAGATGTAAGTTTACAAAATGAAGAGCAAAATAAATATACATTTATTATATAGTTACAATTAAAAAACAGTGCAATGCTTATCATTTAAATATGAATATGTAGGTACAGTACGATATAACAAATTAAAATAACAATAATTTTTAAAAATTATGAAAATAATAACAATACAACAAAAATAATTATAAGTATAATAAAAATATAGTGACAAATAATTATAAGCAAGAATGATTAAACTGTAAGAAAATGTTCATAATGCAATAATATCAATCGCCAGAGAGCCAACACTACAAAACCAGGGGATTTTGGGATTTGGCTGAACCCCTTTTTCACCATCATAATTTTTATTAAAGGAACACTACCGAGTTACTTAGCTTAAAGAAAACATCCTTTCCCTGGTTACGGGCCTACATATTATTGTATGCTTCTGTAGTGTTTATTAACATCATTAGAATATGCACACAACAACTTCTGGATAAGAGACTAGTACAAATGTAATTTTAAAAGATCAGATTTCTATATTTTTGTATCCACTTTATTTTTATCCACAGATATTATTGCATTACAAAACCATTTATTAAAGGAGACATTTAAGGCACACCTCTGAATGGAGTAGACAGTATTTCAATATAGTTTCTCTTTCCTGATCAGTATCTAAGCATACTGTAGTTATTATACAAACATTTAGAGTGCCAACTCCAATACACTTTCATCTATTAAAATAGAAGCGTTACACAAAATTCATCAAATTGCTTTTTATGAATAATTGACCATAAAATATTAATTTGGAAAAAAACAGCAATATTCAGATATAGATGGGTCAAAATTTGAATTTTAGTTGCAGAAGACTTAATGGTCTATGTGTCATTTATTATTTTGAAATTGTTCTCGTTATTCATTTTTCATTTGTAGATTTGACTTGTCAGTTCAGTTTTTGTGTCTACTGTCCCCATGGAGGGCCATAGACACTATGTCATGATGCACCAATTAAAGATGGCGGAAAAGGGTAAGTCCGGTGGAGAAATGATGGGTACTACTACCGTCACTTGAAGGACGCCCTCTAGAACCTGGTAGTACTTTTCAATATAAATGACATAATGTGGTAACTCCCAAGAGTTAGTGTAATATAATAGTAGTATACAGAATATTGTTATGAAAGAAAATTTGCATGAAAAATCCAGATACACTACAATAATACACACATCTGGCATATTGAAGAACATAAGATAAAATTCAAAACCAAAAACAGGCTGGGAGCCTATTTTTGTAATGTCTATGCATGTTATTAAAAAGATCAACAATAACACCAAGAATATATAGCACACAAAAATATGTTTCATCATAACAATAAATAGATATGATTGGAGGAGTGATACATCATTATGCCAATTACTTCTGATCGTATCACAATTTAAATGTAATCAAAATAGGGTTTCGTATATATTTGAATAAGCTCTCCCGTGCATTTATTGTTGAGAAAGGTTTTTGTGGGTGGCATTTGTTTTTTCTGGTGTAAAATGGAATATGTAAATACCGTACTCATATACTTATTCCAAATGAGGCTCTGGTGGGAGAATTTATTAGAGGGAGGTGTTTATTCAAAGAGGGGCATTTATACCAATAAATACGATATACGTGTAATTGAATGTTTTCTGAACAGCTTCCAACTAACTCAATGGAACTACACATTGTATCTAACACTCCATTTTACCATCATAGATACAAATGGTATTAGAAATAGTGGTGCTAAATGTTGGTTGTTAGATGCTTGCCTTCTAATCCCAAGGTCCTAAGTTCAATTCCTTACAAAGTTGCATGACTTTTTTCCTCATGACCACTCCTTAGTAAATCACATCATAATGAGAGTTTAGGCCATCTTGTGTATGTGTTTATCTTAATACACAATTTCTCCTCTTAATATTATATTGGTGTTTACACCGCTCTATATAGTCTATATTTGGTACAGTATTCAGGTACAAAGTTGTAAAAAGAAAAAGAGTAAATACTGTATAGGGAGCACTTTAATTTATTTAATTTGCCAATGTATACCATATAGTTAATTAATAGCTAGAAGTGAAATAGACCTTTCAGAGTACAGCAACAATAAAAGGAGATCTACTGAAGTTTGGTTGGGTAATAATATTTTATCATAATATTCAGGTATAGCAAATTTAAAATGCATAGAGGCCTTGCAGGGCATAAATTAATGCATAATATATTAAAAACCAAATATTTTTATTATTATTATTATTATTATTTGTTACATTAAGGGACTCATAAGTAACCTATATACCATTTTGTAGTTTGCTTCAAATGTTTTGCCAGTCAAAAATGAAGCTGTTGAATAATGAATATTCATAACGAAAATCTGCTGAATATTACTGTTCTTTAACATTATGGAAAAAACTACAGTGCACCCTTTCGAGACCCCTCTTTTTCGAGACCGTTTTCAAAGTACAGTTCGCCTCTAATTTAAGACCACCTTTGGGACCTGAAAATGTGGGTGTGGTCTCGGAGTTCGGTCTCCAATTAGAGGGTTAGGTTAGTATTAGAGGGGTCTCAGAATTACAGGGGTCTCAAATCGACAGATTATCCAAGCGGTACAAGAACAACACTCAATATATAATGTTACAATTTTAATTTGTAAGATTGTGAGGCCATAACTAATTGAAATTTCATATGAAACTCACTGAACACTGTACTTTCTATGTACATTGAAAGGAACTTTGTACATGTTGATTTTTCACATAAGTAAATATTTATTTGGGGGAAGCTGCTTGCTAATTCTTTTTTTTTTTTTCCAATTTATTTACTTCCTGTTTAGATGCAAATTCTTTAAATTGTTTGACCATTTTATTATATCCCCAATATATTCTAGAAAAATGCCTAATTAATTTTCATTTTGATTGCTCAAGATTTTTGACCTTTCAACTTGTTTCTTTTGTGTAGTAGAATAATAGGGTCAAATAAAGGGGCTTTAAATAGGTATTAAATCTCAGAACTTCCAGTAGTTGACAATACTATAGTGAAGGAACATTGTTAAAGCCCTTGTGTATGGCCTAGAATCACTGATAAATAGTGTAATCAAGTCAATTTACAAAAGCAGTTTCACATGAAAAGCCTTAACACAAAATTTTTTATTACAAAATTCACAATGGACAAGGGCAACCACAAAATAAACTGCACATAAATTGGGTCAAATAATTAACATAAACTTATAGATATGTACAGAATGTTCAATACTTGGTTTGTGACTTAAAATATGGATAAAGTTAAATGGATTACGAAGGGCGAAAATTAACTTGGCTAATAATAGAGGCTCAAACAACTGTTGCTGTAGTACTGTATGCATGAGAAATTAATCAATGAGAACTCTATTATTATATTGTAATACTCTGGTCAGATAAAAACATGAATGAATGAATGAATTACAATCAAATGGTGAACATACACAAAATAATATATTTATTTGAGGAAATAAATATATTATTATTATTATGTTGTATTTTGTGTACTTGCCAAGTACACAATGTTGTATTTTGTGTACTTGTCAAGTACACAAAATTCAACAAAATTATAATAATATATTTATTTCCTCAAATGCAGGAGGCCGAAGCCATGGAGAACCAAATTTGGCAGCCCCAAAATTATGTTGCTACAGGACAATTAACTCCACTGCGTGTTTATAATTATTTAACATGAAAATGGATTTAAATATAAACTGTTAATTTTCATTTATTTGTTCAGATATTATGTGGCAAAATTTCATTAATTATAATTATAACTGTATAATAGCAAACCAAAAATAAAGAAATGAAAACTTAATGAATTTGTATGAGTAATAATTTTCACTTCAAGTACTGTACTCTAACATACATTTTTAATGTGAGAATATGAAAAGTAATAAGTGTAGCAGCAGTCAAGGGGATGAAGCCATATCATAAGGCATACAGTATCTGCTTATTATGCGTCTACAGTCATGTGATTTTTCTCTATCACACTGAATGCATAATTCACAAACTTGAATTAATTTCACTGGTAGTTAAAGACACTGAGTAACTGACTTTGTTGGTATTACAGTCATAGAAGGTTACATGGTTTGATTGTCAAAATTAAATCAGGATCGCTGAAGAATTTATCATGCATGATACTGGTAGGAGTCAAACAATAGAAAGTGAGATTATACCTTCAGAGCTTAAATTCAAAACAAGCTTTTATAGTTAATCAGTAATAAATAATCTAACCACTTTAGTATAAAATGAAAAATAACAATACCACCAGTTTTTTAGGTTGAAAAAAAGAATATTTGGCAAGAGTCAATGAAAAATAACATGAATAAACCAGTTTTTTTAGGTTAAAAACAGAATGATTCACGAGTGAGAAAGTGATTCTCTGATTTGAGAAACACATGGCACACTTTCACTTTCTGTATCAAAACTACAGGTAAATCCAAAATCATTTAAAAAATTAACTTGCTCATTTTGAATAATATAAAAACTACAAACTTGAACACAAAAATTACTGTATTTAAAAAATGTTTACCCATAATTTTACAGCTAAAAATGATGGAAACACTTCCAGTCACTGGAAGTGTTATTTTTGTTTTAATAATTATCCAGTTTAAATTCAGGGTACACAATTTTTAAATTCATTAATTTCTATGCTGAAGTAAATAATTTATGCAAAATGAGCAATATAATTTAATAATTACGTTTTATGATACTTTGTCATTTTCAAGGGACAATACATCTTTAACAATAACAGATGAACTCAAATTTACTGCAGTACCTTTCATCATTCGTTTTCATGTGGTTTAATTTTGCATCTGAACATAAACAATTGAGAAAACCTGGAGTTAACATATATTTCAATTTTCATATAGAAACTACACACTAAGTAATTTATAAACTCAATGAAGTGCTAGTAGCTACTATATAAATCCAAATTTTTTTTCTGAAATCACCCCACAAAATGTATAGTATTTACAGCA